CACACACACACACACACACACACACACACACACACACACACACACACAAAAGCAGTACTGAAAGCAGCACCCCTCTAGTCTCACCAAGCAGCAAAAATATAACGAATGAAATCTGAACGAGAGGTTTGCCCCAACGCTTCACTTTTGAGCAGCAGCTAGATGCCTAGGCCTACTGTGTCTGCTTATCTAAACAAAAGCCTGAAGTGAAAAAGATCCTATCACTATGCTGGGCAAACAGAGAATGCACACAGGTGCTGGGTTCAAAACCCACCAGCCTCAGAGGGTCCCTTGACCATAATGAAGGGAAGCGTCCAGTGAGTGACCAGATGTTAGGGACACTGAACCCACTCTCCAGTCCTATCAATCAAAGAACTCAAAAGAACAAAGAAAAAGACTTAGAAATGGGGAGAGGAATAACCTTCACGAAAGAAATGAAATTTGATGAATTCATATCGATCAGGTACAGCAGCAGCCCTCAGAAAGAGTTAAAAAAAAGATCAATCAAACAAACAGAAGAGGGGGAGGGGGGGGGGGAGGGGGGGAGGGGGGGGAGAGGGGAGAAGGGAATTGAATCAATTGATATCTGAAAGGAAAACGAAAGCAGGGAGAGTGTCTGAACCAACCTGATAATCAACACCTTTGGTCATCACAAGTCGAGAAAATCCCAGAATAAGAAGAGGGCTGACGTTTCGTAATACTCCGCCCTGAGGCCTGACCAATTGCTCCAGACATCACACATACACGAGCCTTGCAGTAAATGAGCTGCTCTGCAGTATTGTCAGCACATAACTACCTCACAGGAATTCTCTACACCCTGATTGTTGGCTGTCTGCTTTTCAATGTGCACAAGCTCATGGGACTCTTTTACATACTTCACCCTCCCTCCCCTACCTTCATTCGGACCTCTCTCTCTCTCTCTCTCTCTCTCTCTCTCTCTCTCTCTCTCTCTCTCTCTCTCTCTCTCTCTCTCTCTCTCTCCACGTGTGTGTGTGCTATAGACAATCACCACAGAAACCCCTTTTTCCACCCACACACATAGCATTCATAACTCAAACATTCTTTCCATCCTAGCATGTACACACCAAGGGCACATTTGCATACAAGCGGTGTGAAACGACAAAATGCTGTAAATGGCCTGGTGGCTCAGTGGTTAGAGCACCGGCTGGAAATGCACATTGTGGTATGAGGTTGCGGGTTCAAAACCATGGCAACGGCGGACCCGGACACCATACACCAGACACTTCCAGACTGTCTTCCGGACTTGTGTCTGGACCGGTCCGGACTGTCCGGTGATCCGGACATCACCAGACCCGGACACTCCGGACCGGTGTCAGGGGGTACAAAATGTCTGGACCAAAAAAAAAGAAAAAAAGAAAAGAAAA